TATGTGGATTGCTATCCCTGCTTTCTTTTGAGAACCATTTGAATGGTAAATGGTTCTCCAACCTTTTATTTTCAGGCTGTAGGTGTCCTTAGGTCTAAAATGAGTCTCTTATAGAGAGCGAGTAGATGGGTCTTGCTTTTTTTATCCAGTCTGAAACCCTATGTCTTTTGATGGGATCATTAAGCCCATTCAGGTTCAGAGTAACTGTTGAAAGATATGAATTTAGTGTCATTGTAATACCTATTCAGTCCCTGTTTTTGTGGGTTCTTTGGGCTTGCTCTTTCTTTTACAGAGCCCCCCTTAACATTTCTTGCAGAGCTGGTTTGGTGGTCACATATTCTTTCAGTTTCGGCCTATCTTGGAAGCTCTTTATCTCTCCTTCTATTCCGAATGAGAGCCTTGCTGAATAGAGCATTCTTGGCTGCATGTTCTTCTCATTCAGGACCCTGAATATATCCTTCCAGCCCTTTCTGGCCTGCCAGTCTCTGTGGAGAGGTTTGCTGTTAATCTGATATTTCTCCCCATATAAGATAGGGATCTCTTGTCTCTCACTGCCATAAGGATATTCTCTTTATCTTTGGAATTTGCAGGTTTCACTATTAAATGTTAAATGTCGAGGTGTTGAACAAGTTTTTGTTTTTTGTTTTTTTTTTGGGGGGGGGGGCGGGGGGACCTGTATATCTCCTGGATCTGAATGCCTGTTTCCCTCCCCAAATTAGGGAAGTTCTCAGCTATGATTTGTTCAAATATGCTTTCTGGCCCTCTGGCCCTCTCGGCACCCTCTGGAACCCCAATTAAACATTTTTTCCTTCTGCGGCTGTCATTTATTTCCCCTAACCTTTCCTCTTGGTCTCTTAATTGTTTTTCTCTTTTTCCTCAGCTTCCTTCCTTGACATCAATTTGTCTCCTATGTCACTCACTCTTTCTTCTACCTCATTAACCCTCATTGTTTGGACCTCCAGTTTAGATTGCATCTCATTTAATTGATTTTTAATTTTGGCCTGATTCAATCTAAATTCTGCAGTCATGAAATCTCTTGAATCCTTTATGCTTTTTTCCAGAGCCACCAGTAGCTTTATAATTGTGCTTCTGAATTGGCTTTCTGACATCAAATTGTAATCCAAATTCTGTAACTCTGTGGGAGAGAGTACTGTTTCTGATTCTTTCTTTTGTGATGAGTTCCTTCTTTCTAGTCATTTTGCTCAGTGCAGAGTGGCTGTATGAGCAGGCCGAGTCAAGAATATCAACGATGACCTAGGTAAATTTCACCTTGATGATTCTGCCAAGGTCAGAAACCAGAAATTGAAAACAAAGATCAGAAGTAATAAAACAAAAGGCGCTACAGTGAAAAACAAGTTTTAAAACAAAGTAGTAAAAAAATAAAGGGCCTTCCTAAAGAAGAGGGAAAAAAAGTAGAAAGAAATGGGAGTGGGCCCGGGAGATGGTGGTGGTGACGAAGTTGTAGTGGAGGGAGAATGTAGTCTACCTGAGGCATTCTAGAGGGTGATCCTCTTGTTTCTGAGTATATTAAGTTCTGTATATTAGATGCTCAGTCCCTAATTTCTATAAACCAGAAATAGTTGTAGAGAGCCCCAACATTGACCACCAAAACATAAGTGAGATAAAAGATGGGGGCAGAATTAGTATTAGGAATCTCACAGAATGAGGGGGATCCCTGGGTGGCTCAGTGGTTTAGCGCCTGCCTTTGGCCCGGGTGCGATCATGGGGTCCTGGGATCGAGTCCTGCGAATGGCTCCTGGCGTGGAGCCTGCTTCCTCTGCCTGTGTCTCTGCCTCTCTCTCTCTCTGTCTCTATCATGAATAAATAAATAAAATCTTAAAAAAAAAAAGGAATCTCACAGAATGAACCACATGGTATATCACTTGGTTCTGGGTGCATGCTGTGGTCATGTTTTAGAAGGTATTAACCTCTGCCATTGTCGAACAAAATGAGGCAGATAAAACAAAAAAACACAAAAGAAAACATATCTTGTATGTCTCCCAAAATTAAGTTGTGTATGTTGAACGGAATCTAGAAGTGGAAAATATATCTAGGACCTGTAATTGTAGAAATATGAGAGTCAAAAAGGAAAAATCTTAAAAATGAAGAGGTGGTAAAATTTTGTGGTTAAGGTGGGAAAAGAGAAAAAAATTGGAAATTTACAGTCTGATAAAAAAAAATGAGTTGTACTGGAGAAAGGAAGAAAAAAAATAGGAGGGGTACTGTCTGGTTCTATATATTGTAAATCCCTTGACTTCCCTTGGAGCTTTGCAGCGCTGCTTGATCAAGAATTTGCTCTTCCCCCTGTTCTTCCAGTGGGTCTTCTGGGGGAGTGGCCTGCTGTGCTAATTCTCAGGTGTGTGCACCTGGGGGAGCTGCCCTACCCTGTGCCAGGTGCGCGGCTCAGTGGGAGCTGTTTACCCCGTGAGGCCCCTGTTCCCTGGCGGCTAGCTCTGTCCCAGGAAGAACGACAGCACCAGCGGCAGCCAGGTGTCCAGCTCTGGAGTCAGCTCCCGCAGTAACTACCGGGGTCTCACTGTCTGCACTGGCCTGGATGCTCCAGGGCTGGGGGTGCCCGGTGGCTGGAGAGTCCTTGCTGTCTGATGCCCTACCCACCTCCGCCTGTCCCGGGGGGAGTACAGGATCGTGGGCTGTGTCTCCCCCCGGCCCCCGCGCCTTGGGGCCTGCGCTGCTGGGATCGTGCTCCTAAGGCCGCAGCTCCCGAAGGCTTCAGGGCGCAGCCCTCTCCGTCCCAAGCCGCCACTTGAGCTGCTCCTGAGACCCCGCCAGCTGCGTGCCCCAGCCCTTTACCGAGATCCGCCCACAATCTGTGGCATGCTTCCTCTGTTAGTGACCCCGGGAACCTGGAGGCTCCACTGCCCCTCTTATGATTCTGCCCGAGTTCCCTGCTAAGCGCCTTTCAGTCTGGGAAGAATCCGGTGCGGATTTTTAGAGTTCCTGGTTCTCTGGGGCAGGGCTTTCCTGTCCAGGAGGCTCCCCCCACCCTCCCCGCAGGCCTAAGCCTGGCTCCTCCCCCACTTGATTCTTTTTTATTTTTTTCCGCCTTCCTTTTTAGAAGCGAAAACCCTTCTCTCTGTAGCGTTCCAGCTGTTTTCTCTTTAAATTTCAGGTCGAATTCTTAGGTTTTCAGGGTGATTTGAAAGTTATCTAGGTCAATTGGTGGGGACAGGTGACTTGGGCACCCTACTCCTCCGCCATCTTGCCCTGCCCCTATATCGCCCCATCTTTAAAACAATCCACAGAAAGGCCTTTTACTACATTCTCCTCCCTTTAAAATAAAAAAAACCTTTATTAGCTACATTTTCCACTCTGGTAAGTGCCCTTTCTTATGCTCCATTTCAGAGCAGAACACACTAAACACGTGTTTATACTCTGATTTATGTGTTGCTTCCAGTTCTCACTTTTTTAAAGAACAATTTTATTTATTAGAGAGAGAGGAGAATGCATGAGCAGAGGGGAGGAAGGAGAGGGAGAAGCAGACTCTTGGCTGAGCAGGGAGCCTGACTCAGGGCTTAATCCCAGGACCCTGAAGTGATGAGCTGAAGGCAGATGCTTAACTGACTGGGCCACCCTTGTACCCCCAGTTTTCACTTTCATATCTACTATGCCAGTGAGCCTTTCCCTGTCTGAGTCACCAGGGACCTCCCCACTTCTCAGTCCAGGCATGTTTGCAGAGTATACAAGACATTACTTTTTTTAAAAGACTTTATTTTATTTATTCATGAGAGAGAGAGAGAGAGAGAGAGAGGCAGAGGGAGAAGCAGGCTCCATGCAGGGAGCCCGATGTGGGACTCGATCCCGGGTCTCCAGGACCATGCCCTGGGCCGAAGGCAGGCACTAAACCGCTAAGCCATCCAGGGATCCCCTGACATTACTTGTTAATGTTTTAACTTAGGACAAAAGAAATAAAAATTAGATGTTTACTCAAAATGGATAAGGGAATACATGGTTTCCAAAAAGCCTTCTGACATATGGGGGGAAAGTTTGAAAAATTCAGCCCACTCTGATCTGTTTTGTTTAATATCTCTGATCTTAGCTCCTCCTTATCTCTTCCACTCACCCCACTCCAGCCATACAGGGCTCCCTTGACCTTTCTGGAGCCCAGAATGCCACTACCCCAGGGTCTTCATATAGGCATCCTTCTGCCTAGAATTTTCTGGCCCCTCATATGCAGGTGGCAAAATCTCTTCCTCCCTTCCTCCCTCAGGTCTTTGTTCTGATATAACCTTTCAGTGGTGCCTGCTCTGTCTTGTGTCCCCCCCCCCCCAGCTCCCACTTGTTTTAACATCCAGCTACTCCCTAACCCCCAGTTCTGGTGCCTCTTGCCTGCTCTGCATGTCTCTCTCTGCTCCTTCCCTTTCTACTCTTGACTGCTCATGATAGCAATGCCGCCCCAGGGGAGAGCAGAGCCAGAAGGCAGGAGGTGTGCTGGGTTGGCCTCCTGTGAGTGTGCTCCACCCAGCTGCACCCTGGATGGCTGAGACATTTTGCAGATTTAGCTCTTGTGCTCCCTCCCAGAGATTCCCCTTCCAGTAGTCTGGGGGGATAAGGCCCAGCGTCAGTGCTAGTGAAGTATCCCAGGTGCTCCTGATGGGTCTCCAGCATTGAGCAGCAAAGCCCTAGGTCCTCCGTTTCTGAGGCTGACAGCAGCTCCTGATCCAGGGAGAGGGGAGGGGGCCCTGCTCTGTGTGGGGTGTGGTCAGGACGGGTCTGTGACCTGGAGGGGAGTGTGGGACCAGCCCAGGTCCCCACTGCTGTAGTGAGGGGGGGACTTCCCCAAGGCGGGGGCCAGTTCTTAAGAATGCGCTGGGAACAATCATTTCTGTTGGTGTCTGGAGGGGTTCATGGTCCCTGAGTCTCCTGTGGCAGTGGCAGCAGGGACGGTTGTCTCCCCAGGGAGAGGTCTTCCCGTGTGAGGTTGTGGTACAGGAAGGACGGAGATGATTCTAAGCATTCAGCTGCATATTCTTGACCCTCAGGACTGAATTCTCAAGACTGATCTTGTCTGAGGAAGGAGGAAGGAAGGAGTCAGGCATGGCTGTTTGTCAGGTAAAGTCATATTGTTGGTTGTTTTTCCATCTCTCCCTCTTGCTGTGCCCTTCTTGGACTCGCTCATCTTCTCTGACTCTGACTTGTCCACGTGAGCTGTGTGTGTCCACCACACTCCCCGGGCCTTCCTTCAGTCCCTCTCCTCTTCACATAGATTCCATCTCACGGTGCACCAGTGATGTAGAACCTGTGAGGAGGCTGCCCCCCAGGCGTGTGCTGCTGGCCTTCATAGCAGGTGTGGGTTGGAGATGAGTGTGGGCCCCATGGTGTCAGGACAGTTGGGCAGCAGGGTTTGTTTTAGGGGCTGCCTCTTCATGCATTGTTAGCTCTCTGTATACTAGGATCAAAGGACCTACATGTAGAAGTCATGTATTAGTGTGTACGAATAGTTGGAAAATTCTAGAAAAGAAGTATAACAAGAGTAGATGGGTTCTGCCTGGCTTTTGCATTCAGTGCTAAACAAGCAAACCATGGTGTTTCTGATTCTAAAATACTAATGATGTAGAATAAAGTTCAGAAACATATCAGTAGAGGATGTTTTATTCCATAATTGGTTTTAAAATATGGAATCAACCTAAATAACCAATGATAAGGTCAGCACATCTATCCGACAGAGACCATGGTATTCCCACAGCAACTCTTGTGTAGCAGATGTTTTAGGTGAAAATGATGGTAAGGTAGCCAAGATGTACATAGAACTTTATCTTCACCATCAGACTGTAGCCAAATTCTGGTTTTACCATTATTTTTAAGTATTATATCTGTTTTATTTTCAACATCACATGAGTGAGTCATATATGTATGGATGTATTGATTGATTAAACTCCAAACAAAGAAGGAGCTTAGGCACTAAGATATAGGGGTGTCCCTTCCTGTCATGTTCTCCATTGTTCATGTCTCAGTGGGGAACCACTGTTGTCATTTCTGTGACAAGAGTCAGTTCAAACTTTATAAAAGATGCTTTTACACAAATATAAAATTTTAGAAAAAACTCCTCAATGAAGTTTGTTGTAACATTTTATTCTGCACGTTAAAAAAAACATACACAGCGTGTCTAGACATTATTTTCATGTTAATAAACACAGCCACAGCTTGCTTTTTGACCCTCACTAGAGCATTTTCTTAAGATGCATGGGATGTTTACTATTTTTCACTGAAAGAAGGAATGCCACAGTGGCTGTGTATGAGCAGACTGACCTCTCTGCAGATGTCTGAGGAGTTCTCTGGGTTGGGCAACTCGACTTGTGATTACTGGGTCAAGGATGGTGCATTTCATATGAGGACAGATTCTGTCTGGCACGTCTCCTAAAGCTGCAGAGTACAGCATCGTGCAACAACATGTGAGATTGCCCCCTGATGTAAGCAAAACTTGGTAGTGTAATCTCTTTGTGTTTTGAAAATTGGAGGTAAAAGGACAATCCCTTGTATTTCCTTTTTCTACCTACTTGTAACTTTCATTATTTTTGTGGAATAAAACATAGATTTTCATACTTTGCTGTTTTCCTTTGATATATTTTCAGGAGCTATCTTATATTTTGTAGTTTAATTCTTTACATACATGCTTGCGTCTTTCTTATTTTATCAGTGTTTTGCAGTGAAACGTAAATCTTTCCTTCTTGCTCTCTGGTTTCTGATCTTGCTTTGGGAGACTTCACCTAGTGTAATCTCAAAGTACTGTGTCCCATTTAGCACTCTCTTTGTTTAAAATTACTTTTAAGGGCAGCCCTGGTGGCTCAGCGGTTTAGCGCCGCCTTCAGCCCAGGCAGGGCCTGATCCTGGAGACCCGGGATTGAGTCCCACGTTGGGCTCCCTGCTTGGAGCCTGCTTTTCCCTCTGCCTGTGTCTCTGTCTCTGTGTGTCTCTCTCTCTCTCTGTCTCTCATGAATAAATGAAATCTTTTAAAAAAATAAAATTAAATTAATTTGGCTTTTTAGTGTAAAAAGCTTGTAGCTATTCATTTCATTGAAAAGTTTCATGTAACACACATACAATAATAGGTTCATGTGTTGTTTGCAAGGCTCTCCATGTTTTCTTTTCAAGATTATTTCTCCTCAACATAATGGAGACTGTTCTTTGTTTTTTTAATCCCAAGTTTCTTCTGAATTTGAATTGCTCTGAATTTCTAAATCCCTGAGGTCTTTCTTTACGTCACCACATCTTCCAGTAAGAATTAGGTTTATCAGTCTTTGATCATGTCTTTGTTCTGTCTTTCAGTGAAGTTTTTTCTTTCTTTCTTTTTTTTTTTTTCTCAAGACTTTATTTCTTTATTAGAGTGCACAAGCAGGAGGAGTGTCAGGCAGTGGGAGAGGGAGAAGCAGGATCCCCACTGAATAGGGAGCTCAACGTGGGGCTCAATCCCAGAACCCTGGGATCATGACCTGAGCCAAAGGCAGATGCTTAACTGACTGAGCCACCCAAGTGCCCCTCAGTAAAGTTTTCTAATTTCTTCACATGCGTTGGGAAATGCTTCAAATAGATGTCCTGGTACAGCTGCTAATGGGAATGGGTGGTTCCTATGGTACCACCGCCGTCAGGCCTCTCGCATACCACGCAGTAGTGACTGGCAGGGGCCTAGCTGGCCTACATGCCTCAGCCTCACCTGTGTTGGAAATGCTTCCAGTGCTTAACTGTGGATTGTGATGCTTAGTGGAATGGTCTTGCTCAATAGTAGCTTTTTTTAAATGTGTTTGGCATGATTTCTAATCATCCATTATTTCTTCAAAGATCTGCTGTGATTAACTTGTGTTCTACTTAATCTGTTAAATTAATGTATGACATTTTTTGTTGTCGTTGTTAATGGAATAAACTCCATAATGTTAAATGCCTGACTTTACTGGCATTTAAATTTATATTTTATGTTTTTGCATATAATTTGTCACACCTGAAGATACCTCTTGTGCTCTAGATCCTCTAAGTGTGCAGAACTCTCACTAGTGTAGAGAACATAATATGTACCATGTCCATCTAAACAACGGCACATTGGATATTTTTCTTTTACATAGTTCCTTTATTTTCCACAGAAGTAGGAAATCTACAGTGATTTAGTGGATTTGATATCCTCTGATGGAAAAACATAATAAGAAAAGTTAGGGACATATAAATTTCTCACAATTATCTATTCATGCTCAAAATGGAGTCAGAACATTAATTTTAGTTGAACTGATCCTGTCTCTTTCCTGGTCACATTTTGTGTGAACATGAGAACTCTACTCAAGGTTCCTTGATGAAATGTGTTTTCATTTCAGGAACAGTTGACATTCAAGGATGTGGCCATAAAATTCTCTGAGGAGGAGTGGGAGTGCCTGGACTCTGCTCAGAGGGCCTTGTACAGGGACGTGATGTTGGAGAACTACAGGAACCTGGTCTCCCTGGGTGAGGATAATATTCCTCTAGAAGTTGGGATCTGCCCTGCTTGACCTAGATTGAGGCTGAGTACCTTCTGAAATGAAAATCTTCATGAGGCAGCATCTAACTTTCACCTCCTCTTTTCTTCATATGATCTCTCCATTCTCCCTAGATTAATGGTGTTTCCAGAAGCTGAGTAAGAACAAAACTATATGGCCAGCTTCAAAAAATATCTGATTCTGGACCCACTTTTATCCCTGTACATTTTGACTCAGTAGTTTGTGAAGAGAGCTGGATATCTGTTTTAAAAATATCAATATCCCTTAAGCATTCAGGAATGGACAAGTTTGTGAAGAAATTTTTCTAGACACATCTGTAACATCCTCTTCTCCTCAGCTGAACAAAGGGCTAAATTGTATTCTGGAAAAGACACAGCATATCATTTTCCTTTCTTATTGTCCCTCTTTCTGACCTGAATAACATTTTTATTTTGAAGTAAAGTGAAAACAGTGAAGAAACCAAATGGGTGGGAACACAGGGAAGAGCTCAAAAGGGCAGAGAGGGGATCACATCATTAATAGTGTTTGGGCAGTTTTCTCCTACTGGGAGAGTTCTGTGGGAAACAGAAGTTTCCTTCTTGTGAGCTCTTGGAGGAAAGTTTACTTCCCTTCCCTTTGTCACTCCTTTCTTCAGACATGTGGCAGTGCATCCTCCCAACTGCTAGCTCATGCAAAGACCAAGGCAGGATCTTTATAATGACTTATAGCCTCTATTATATGCCCCTATGACCCCCCCCCCTTTTTTAAGATTTTATTTTTAAGTAATCTCCACAACCAATGTGGGGCTTGAACTTAAACTAACCCAGAGATCAAGAGTCACATGCTCTACAGGCTGAGACAGCTGGGAGCTCCCTTAAGACTCCTTTGGTCCTCTGACCCCAAGGAGTGCTGGGAGGCTGGTTTTCAGGGGTCCTCTTTCTTTCTTGGCTTCATCCCATTCTTGTTCCCAGTCCACATGAATAGGAGCTGAGGCCTCCCCAGTCCCGGCACCAGGCCTTTTCCATGATCCATCCCATTCTGTGTACTGGGAAGACCTACTCCTGGGGTGGGAAAACATCAGCATCTGGGACCCCAGAGCTCTATGCCTCTTGAGGCTGCCTCCCACCCCTCAACTGTTTCTTTAGTTCTGCTTTTGCCACACATCAGAGAGCGTGTCTCACAGAGAAATGGGGTGGGTCTTTTCAATCCAGTAGTAAAATTGTTCACTCAGCAGGCATATAAGCATGTCCACACCACACCATGCCATAAGTTTGCTGTGTTGTGGTTTTGTTTCTTTTCTCTCAAAGTATTTTCTAATTTCCCTTGTGACTCCTTCTTTGACCCTTTGGTTTTTTTGAGTGTTTAAAATTTTTCATGTATTTTTGAGCTTTCCAGTTTTCTTTCAGTTATTCATTTCTAGCTTTGTTCTTTTGTGGTTGGAGAAAATAATTTGTATGGTTTCACTCTTTTTCAATTTATTGAGACTTGCTTCATGGACCGATTTATGGTCTATCCTGGAGAATTTTCCACATACATGTAGAGTAGAATGTATTTTGCTCTTACTGGGTGGAGTGCTTTCTATGCATCTGTCAGTACTCCTTGGTCCGTAGTCTGCCTAAAATCATCTGTGTCCTTACTGATCTTCTGTCTGGGTATATGCTCCACTTTTGAAAGGTCTGCAAGTCTCCAAATACTGTTCTGGAACTATTTTTATTTCTCTCTTCAATTCTATAAATGTTTGTTTCACTCTATTTTAGGGTTCTCTTATATATATGTTCATATTTGTTATAATTCCTTAATGAATTATCCTTTTTAAAATATACATATTGCCCTTTGTCTCCTAAAAATTTTTACTGAAGGTATATTTTTTCTGATAGTATAGCCATTGGGAAATGAAAAAACTCATTAAATTCACTATGTTGTATTGCTCTAGACCCAAACCCATAGTATCTCCAAGGTATACCTGTATATGGAAACTTAACTCCTCTATATCCTGTCCTTCTTTCCTCTGGTATTGTCATAGATTATATCTCTATATGTTGTGTGACCACCAATGTAGATTTAGAATTAGTTTTTTTTTAATCAATAGGGAAAAAGAGGAGTGACAAACCAAAAATACATTAATACTAACTGCATTCATTCCCTTTACCATTTTTTGTTGAACTGGTCTACTAGCAAAGGACTCCCAGTTTTTGTTTTTCTGGCAATGTCTTAAGTTATCCTCTATTTTGGAGGATAGTTTTGAAATATATAGAATTCTTTGTAGAGAATTACTTTTCTTTAGCACTGTGAAAATATCATTCCATTGCCTTCTAGCCCATATAGTTTCTGTGTAAAATCAATGAGTACTTTTATTGAAGATCTCTTTCAGCAAAGGAACTGCCTACTACTGCTTTCAGGATTCTGTGTGTTTGGATCTTAACAGTTTGATTAGGAAGTGTTTCACTGTGGGCTTATTTTAGTTTATCTCACTCAGTGCTTGCCAGACTCCTTGGATACATAGATTTATGTATTTTATCAAATTTGGGAATTTTTCTGCCTTATTACTTCAAATATTTTTTTCTGTCCTCTTCATTCTGTCCTTTCTAGGATTCTCATTATCTTTGTTGGTACACTTGAAGGTGTCCCACAGGTCTCTGGTTCTCCTTCATTTTTCTTTCTGCTGCTGAGATTGGATAATCTCAGCTGACTTAGTCTTCAAGTTTGGTAGTTCTTTCTTCTGCATGTTCAGTTCAGTGTTAAGCTCCTTTAGGGCTTTTTCCATTTTAGTTTTTGTACTCTTCAGCTCCAGAATTTCTCTTTTGGTTCCTTTTTATAATTTCTGTCTCTATTGATTCTCTATTTTGGGAAATATTGTTTTCATTGTTTCCTTTGGTTCTTTGCACATGGTTTCATTTTAGTTCTTTCAATATATTCAAAACAGTGGCTTTTTGTCTAGCAAAGTCTGATGTCTGGGCTTCCTCACGGACAATTTTTATTAAATTGTCTTTTTTCCTATATATGGGTTATACATCATTGTTAGTTTGCATGCCTTATAATTTTTTTTTAAAAGCTAAACATTTTGAATATTCTGACAGCTCTGGAAGTCACATTCTCCCCCACCCACACCCTCACCCTAGCATTGGATGTTGCTGCTTATTGTAGCTGCTATTGTTTGTTTAGTAATTTTTCTGAATTGATTTGTGAAGTCTGTATTCTTTGTCATGTGTGGCCACTCAAGTCTGTGGTCGGCTTAGTGGTCAGCTAATGATTTAACGCAGAACTTCTCAAATACCTGGAAGCAAAAAACCTAAAAAGCAAAAAACTCCTAGTCTTTGGAAACAAACTCTGTATGTTTGTTTGGGAATACCTGAAAATCAGGGATCCCTGGGTGGTGCAGCGGTTTGGCACCTGCCTTTGGCCCAGGGCGCCATCCTGGAGACCCGGGATCGAATCCCACATCGGGCTCCCAGTGCATGGAGCCTGCTTCTCCCTCTGCCTGTGTCTCTGCCTCTCTCTCTCTCTGTGACTATCATAAATAAATAAAAAAAATAATAAAAAAAATAAATAAATATTTGGGAATACCTGAAAATCAGCTTGGCAGTTTACAATGGTGCCTTAGCCTTTACCTTGTGCTTTTGACTGAGCATGAAGGTTGACAGAGGCAGCATAGGGCTGCCTCATGTGATTTCTGAGTACTGACCCAGCCCTGGGCATGTGCATGACTTAGATTCCTAGGAATATGTTGCAGCTTTTCAAAGCCCTTATTTCCCAAAGCATTTCACCCTCTAATCCTTATTATCTAGCTTTCAGTTTGTCTGCTCTGTGCCCCAACTGTCATCTGCTAATACATTTGCCTTTAAGTATGTTTTTTAACTGCCCCCCTCATAACACCTCTTAAATTAATAAGCAAAGTAAAGGCAAAACTTTTTGAGTGAGTTTTTCAGTGACCCTCTAGGCAGGTCAAAGGAAAATCACAATTCATTGAGACTCAAGCCTGTTCTGCCACTCTCAGTAAGAGGGACCTGTACCAGGAATGTGGGCTGCTCTTATATTGGATTGGGTCAGGAGAAGTTAAAATGTCAAAAGCTCTCCAACTGAGATAGTTGCCTCTTTCTTAAGTATCTACATGTTTGATGTAAACCTTTGTTTAGTTTCCAGAATGCTGATAAAGTTGATACTGACAGTTTTTGCCAACTTACTTACTGTTTTTATGGAGAGATGCACTTATAATATTCTATGATTTTTATCCTGATACTTTTACCCAGTTCTTTATAATACTATCTGAAAACTGGTATTTCAGAAGTAAGTGGGCATGTATGTAACTTAGACTGCTAAAAATATGTGGGAGCTTTTCTCATCATATTTTTCAATTCTCATCTTGTGTGCATTTTCTGGAATATAAGTTCTTTCTCTTGTTCTTAAGAGAGAAATCATTAGGATTCCATAGTCTATAATTTTGTATAATTATAGTTACTTATTATTTACCTTTTGGACTTATTTTGGTTTAATTAAAACATTTTATTTAATAACTTGTCATTTATAGATTATGGATTTTAGCATCTAGTTTGGAATATGACTGCAATTTATCAATTGTTAATGTTCCAAAATGCCTATTCTGCATAGAGTATGGATAGCTTTAGAGTAGATATTAAGAATATTTTGTTATTCTAGTGATATACTAAATTCTTCCTGATTTTCATATAACCCTTTTAGTTTTACAATTAATAATTTCCATGTTTTTATCTTATTCATTAATTTTTTAAGAAGATTTTAAGTAATCTCTATACCTAAAATGGGGCTCAAACTTACAACCCTGATATGTCACCTGCTCTACTGACTTATTAATTTTTAATTTTTTTATTTATTTTTATTTTTTTCTTATTAATTTTTTTTAAAGATTTTATTTACTTATTCATGATAGTCACAGAGAGAGAGAGAGAGAGAGGCAGAGACACAGGCAGAGGGAGAAGCAGGCTCCACGCAGGGAGCCCGACGTGGGATTCGATCCTGGGTCTCCAGGATCGTGCCCCAGGCCAAAGGCAGGCACTAAACTGCTGCGCCACCCAGGGATCCCTCTTATTAATTTTTAAGTGGATTATTTGCCCCCAAAAAATCTATTCCTTCATATAGAGCTGTGCTTCAGCATTTATTTGCATATAATAATTATGCTGTAAATATACATTTGTATAATATGTTTCTTTTTTTAAAGATTTATTTACTTTAGAGAAAGAAATGGGGGAGGGATAGAGGGAGAGGGAGAGAAAAACCCAAGCAGTCTCAGTGCTGAGCCTGACATTGGGCTCAATCTCAGAACCCTGAGATCATGACGAGCTGAAATCAAGAGTCAGGCACTTAACTGACTGTACCACACAAATCCCCCAATATCTGTTTCTTTTCAATATGAGACACTCATTTGTCTACTGCCAGTTGGTGTGTGTTTTGGTATGGTGGTCAAAGAATACACTTTCTTTCAGAACTTATGTAAATTTACATAGTTTGAACAATTTGGTCATAGAACATTTGAAAACAGGTTTTCAGGGGCACCTCGATGGCTCAGTTAAGTGTCTGACTCTTGATTTTGGCTAAAGTCATGATTTCAGGGTTGTGAGATGGAGCCCCACATTGGGCTTTGTCTGGGGTGTGGAGCCTGCTTAATACTCTATCCCTCTCCTTCTGCCCCTCCCTCTTTTTTTTTTTAAGAAAAAAAAAAGACAGAAAGGTTTCCCTTAAAATAATTTGAAATACATGTCATCTTTTACTAAAGGATTCTATTCACTTTGCATTCTTAAACATTTGTAGACTTTGGTTGAGAAGCTTTTATCTCTTCAATAAGTATTATTTTTAGTGTAATATCCATTTTGCAACTCTAGTTAATGTGAAGACTATCTTTTTTTATATCTTTCAGATAGCTCTGCTGGCTTCATGATCAGGGAATTATTACCAAAGAAAGAAATTAATAACAGAAAATTATGCCAACCTGTGGTTTTGGGAAGACAGGAAAGCCATGACCTTGAAGATTTTGATTTAAGGGAAATTTGGGGAAATATGTATGAATTTGAGAATAAGTGTGGACATGAAGAAAGAAATTCCAGGGGAGTGCTCATGACAGATACTGTAAGTCTCACTGGTAGAAAAGAAAAACAAGACAGCAAATCCAGAACTAACTTACCTTTAAAGCAGAGTGTTTCTTTAAGAAAAGGTACATATCAATATTTTAAACAAGGGAAGTCATTAGTGAAGAATTCGTTAAAAATAAAAAATAATATGGTCTATGCAAGAAGCAAATATACAAATTGTTTGGAAAATCGAATTGGATTAAACTTTCAGTCACAACTGCCTGAAATGCAGAGATTTCAAACTGAGGAGAAAATGAATGAATGTAATCAAGTTGAAAAGCCTGTCAAAACTTGTTCTCCAATTGTGCCACTTCAGAGATTTCCTCCTAGTATCAAAACCAACCTTTGTAATAAATATGGAAGAGTTTCTATGTATCCTTCGTTGCTCACACAGCACCAGAAAACAAAAATTAGAGAAAAATCATACAAATGTAATGAATGTGGAAAGACTTTTAGCCATCATTCAGTCCTTACAAGTCATCAGAGAATTCATTCGGAGCAGAGGCCTTACAAATGTAATGAGTGTGGTAAAGCCTTTAAGCAGTTCTCAAACCTCACAAGACATCAGAGAATCCATACGGGAGAGAAACCATATAAATGTAATATCTGTGACAAGGTCTTTAATCAAAATTCTCACCTTACAAATCATTGGAGAATTCACACTGGAGAAAAACCACACAAGTGTCATGAATGTGGTAAGGCTTTTATCAAATGTTCAGACCTCTCGTGTCATGAGAGAATTCATACTGGAGAGAAACCTTACAAATGTAATGAGTGTGGTAAGGGTTTCACCAAACGTTCGTATCTTTGGGATCATGAGAGAATTCATACTGGAGAGAAACCATACAAATGTATCGAATGTGGCAAGGTTTTTAGACAGTGGTCTACCCTCAGGATTCACCGAAGAATCCATACTGGAGAGAAACCATATAAATGTAATGTGTGTGGCAAGGCCTTTAGTCAAAACTCAAACCTTACAATTCATCAGAGAATTCATACTGGAGAGAAACCTTACAAGTGTAATGAGTGTGGCAAAACCTTTAAGCAATATTCAAGCCTCATAAGACATCAAAATATACATCCCGGAGAGAAACCATACAAATGTATTGTGTGTGGTAAGGCTTTTATCAAACGTTCACATCTTTGGGGTCATGAGAGAACGCATCCTGGAGAAAAGCCATACAAATGTATTGAATGTGGCAAGTCCTTTAGACAATGTTCTGACCTCAGGATTCACCAAAGAATTCATGCTGGAGAGGAACCTTAGAAATGTAACAAATGGGACATAAATCATTTAACTATTTTTCACAATACACTTTATATCAGAGAATTTACACTAGGGAGGACTAAGTCTCTAGTCCAAGATTAATCAACCTTGGATGTTAAATTCTTCACAGTAAGTAAAAGTCAAAATCATTTTAAGACTCATGAAACATGAGATGAGTGTCAGTCGAGCAAGAAGAGCTTAGGAATGTAGCATTTCCTTTAAAAATACTTTGATTACATGAGGTTTCTTGAAAGGCCTACATCAATCATGATTCATGTCTTTTGACCTGAAGTCTGAATTTGTTAATGTTACATCTTCATTATATGTTTTTCATGTGTTACCATTGATGGGCTCTGGGAGCAGATCAGTAAGATAAAAGGGCCTACTTTATTAAATGGGAGTCATTCACATCCATGTATCCTGAAGGAATGCTGAATTTTAACATAGAGTGTTTTGTGGAATTAAATGAATACATGGGTTGGGCAGAGAATATATGTAAAACAATGATGTAAATAATATGTTCAGGATCCTTTCTACAGGATCCTGTAACAGAGGGCCACTGGATTATCAGAAACCATTGCTCTCCCAGAGGAGTGTGAAACAGCAGGTTTTGAGACTGACAGACTGAGATTTTCATGATGTGTTAGTAGGGACTGCTTATGTGATAGAAATAATGGAGAAATAATGGTCATTTCTCCCTTTAATGAAAATAGTGGTTGTATATCAAAGATGAGTGAAAAGTTATTCTTATTTTGGGGAACTAAAAAGAGCAATTATGAGGAAAACTTAAAATAACCAGAATACAGTGTACAGGTATAGGATCTGTGTTTAACCACTACACTGATGCTGCTTTATTCAGAATGTATTATACTTATGTTTTAATTAATAAAATTTAATCATTTTTTTCAAAATTCTAAATGAATCATGTTTTTTTTCTATCAGATCAAGTCTATATTGTCTCATTATGGTACTTCATAACAAAGACTAACAGTACATCTTCAGGCTGTCAAGGCTAAAAGGCATCGCAACAATTTTTTTCCATGATGGAATCAACATACAATTTTATGAATATATGGTCATAATTTACTGAGCTCTTCTCTCCGTCATCTGCTCCTTGGATATTTGTCACTTGTGACTGTGATTTAAAAACCACAGCATTGCAACTTTAGATTCTCCCTCTAAACATTTGAAGTGCAATTCATGAATGTGCATCTGATAATATTTCTACATGCCTTTTTTTATGCCTACATGAGACCCATGATTTGCAGTGGCCTTGATTTACATGAGAACATGTGTCTGTGTGTGTAATTTTTTTAAAAAAAGATTTTAGTAAGTAATTTCTACACCTAGGGACTTGAACTCACAACCCCAAGATCAAGAATCACATGCTAGCTCTAATGACTGAGCCATCCAGGTGCCCAGAGGCAAATGTATTAAGCATATGAAAAATGTTAGGGAATAAGAAAATTTCAGGAATAGAGACAGGATATGAGAAGAGTTTACTCACCCCTTCCCCCTTCTTGGAGCCTTCATTGGAGTAATTTGGAAAGATCATTGATCATGAGTTTCCCCTTAAGAATGAACATATATGCCAGGAGATACACTGGTTTTTATTTGTAGGCCAACTAAGAACTATACATATTAGTTCCCTCAAAAATAGTTAATTTGTACTTTAAGATAGCCCACAGACACAAGATGAACCCCTATGCAAAATTTAGTCTTGGGTGTTAAGATTGATAATCCTAGACCCCAAAAGGAATGAAAACGTTTAATGCATAATGAGACTTTCTGGGGAGAACAGAGCAGGTTTCCAAAGTTGCTAGAAAAATGGCTTGAGAGAGCAAGAAAGGGAGACTCATTTTATGAGGTGGGTCCTGCAAATGGTTTGATCTTCCTGTGGGCACCAAAGGAGAACCTGGGCTTCTAAGTTTGACCACCTGTGGAGTAGGAGGGAAGTGGGAGGATGCACTGAATATGTGGTTTTGGTTTTTTTGGAGGGAGGGGTTGTTTCTTTTTTTCATATATTATACCTCAAACTGTACCAGGAACAACAGGGAAAGCAGTTGAGAGAGTTGAGGCTTAAAAGGTGTCCATGGTCAAATATCAAAATAATAATAAGGAGATTCTAATATAATGCAAAATGTTTACTCTCAAACCTCCTGACTGCTTGGTTAGGAAAGACCAGTTTTTTTCATACTAATAACTTCTTGCACATCCTTTCTTGCTACATACATAGGACCCTTAACCCAGTATAATTGTTGAAAGTGAAATACTGCAATACTAAAAAAAAAAAAAAAATACTGCAATACTATTTAGATAAACTGCCTAAGATGCTTTTACACTAGTTTCATAATCATTAACGTGTGGAAGTGTTTATCAGGCAATAGATAGGATTCAATGATCTTACTAGAAGAGTCTTTTAAAAGCTATTAAAAAAAATCTCAATTTGTGATTATTCTATTAAGCATTACATGATTTCTTTCAACTCTAGAAAAATTCCTTTTTATTTAGAAATGTTTCCATAACCTACTTCATATATATTTAGTTTACACATTTTCCCTGTGTTACTACATTGAAGTTTTTTGAAAAATAATGCATGAGTTAAAGATTCTTTTTAGAGTTTATAACATGAAAATGAACCCAGGACAGTACGTGGTACAAAGTAAATGCTCTATGGATATGAAGAATAAGAGTCCTTTTATACCTTTAGTTCAGTGAAAGAAGTAAGACCATATGAAATTGTAAACTGGGATCTAATAAGATGGAGCTAGGACACCTTTTTTAAAAAAAATATTTATTTATTCATGAGACAGAGAAAGGCAGAGACACAGGCAGAGGGAGAAGCAGGTGCCATGCAGGGAGCCCTGCATGGGACTCGATCCTGGAGTCCTGGGATCATGCCTTGAGCCAAAGGCAGACGCTCAACTGCTGAGCCACCCAGGTGTCCTGTGGGAGACTTTATGTTAACCCATCAATCTAATACTGGGATTTGGGGAATAGAGTATGTTCATTGTACCTTAAAATCACTTCCAATTCTTAACAAAAAAACAAAAACCATCTCCAATTCTTCTAATAGCTGTAAGACTAATCATCTCTGTCCTACATTATAGCAATGATACTGGACCTTTATGTGTAGTACAGGGTCAGGCTATCAGATTTTTTTTATAAGTTCAGTGCGAAGCTATTAGATGTTTTTACTTGATGATTTTAATAAGATATACCATAAAATCCACTCTTAAAATGTACAATTTATTAAATAAAGTGGCAAAGATGTCCTCTCTCACCATTCTTGTTCAACACTGTACTGGAAGTCTTAGCTAATGCAATAAGAAAAAGAAGTACACAGGACAGTCATTAGGAAACAAACATGTCTTGTTCACAGATCATATTGTCTATGTAGATACTCCAAAGAATCAACAAAAACACTTGGAACTAAAAAGTGATTATAGCAAAACTGAAGGACACAAGGTTAATACATGTACTGTTTGTGTTAGCCACTTAAATTTCACATGGTGCAATTCTAACCCATATGTGGTATGTGGAAGTGTCACTTTTGGGAGGTAATTACTGCATAAAAGTGGAACCCTCATGAATGAGATTAGCGACCTTCTACAAGGAATCTCAGGGAGCTCTCTTACTCTCCACCATATGAGAATCCAACAAGACAGCCTTTTGCAGCCAAGAATAGGGCTCTCACCAATGCCTAATTAGCCAGCACATTGATCTTGGCCTTTCCAGCCTCCAGAACTGTTAGAAACAGCTATTGTTTATAAACCACCTAGTCTATGTTACTTTTTTAAAAAAAGATTTATTTATTCATGAAAGACACAGAGAGAGGCAGAGACATAGGCCAAGGGAGAGGCAGGCTCCCTGCAGGGAGCCCGTTTTAGGACTCGATCCCAGAACCCCGGGATCATGACCTGATCCAAAGGCCACCCAGGGATCCCATCTAGTTACTTTTTAATAACAGCTCAAACTGACTAAGGCAGTACACAAATGAGCAATGAACAAGTGGAATTTGAAATTAATCACACAGTAACTTTATACTGACACTAGAAAATACCTTATACTTAGACATAAGTCTAACATAGTATGTACAGGATCTACATGAGGAAAGCTTGATTTCAGTTGATTAACAAAATCAAAGAACTAAATAGATGAAGAGATTATCCATGTACATGGACAAGAAGACTCAATAAGGTTTCAGTTCTTCCCAATTTGACTTACAGATTCAATGCTATCCCAAACTAAATAGCAAGTTATTCTGTGGATACCAACAAGTTGATCCTGAAGTTTTTATGGAGTGTCAAAAGATGCATAGTAGCAAACAAAATATTTTTTAAAAATTTTATTTACTTATTCATGAGATACACAGAGAGAGGCAGAGAGAGAGGCAGAGACAGGAGAAGGAGGCTCCATGCAAGGAACCTGATATGGGACTCGATCACGGGACTTAAGGATCACGCCCAAAGCCGAAAGCAGACGCTCAACTCTTGAGCCACACAGGCGTCCCGCCAACAAAATATTGAAGTAAATGAACAAAGTCAGAGGACCGACATTACTTGATTCAAGGCTTCCTATAAATATACAGTAATGAAAATAGTGTAGTATTGGCAAGCTGATACACAAATAGATCAAAGGAACATAATGAGAGCTCAGAAATGGACCCACACAAATAGAGTCAACTGATCTTTGGCAAAGAAGCAAAGGCAATATGGTAGAGAAAAGTGGTCTTTTCAACAGATGTGCTGAAGCAACTGGACATCAGCCTTCCAAAATATTACATGTAGACATAGATTCCTTATTCCTTTCACAAAATTCAACTCACAATGAATCTGATGTAAATATGAAATGCATAACTATAAAATTCTTAGAAGATGACACAGGAGAAAATCTAGATGACCTTGGTTTCATGATGAATTTTTTTGACACAACACCAAAGGAAAATTCCATGAAGGTAATAATATTTTGGATTTCATTTTCATTCTGCAAAACACACAAAAGAGAATGAGAAAACAAGCCACAGGTTGAAATAAAATATTTGTAAAGCACATTTCTAAATGGACTGTTATCCAGAATACACAAAGAACATTCTCAAAGCACAAAAATAAGAAAACAAAAAACATAATTTAAATATGGGAAGACAGGACTAAATACCTCACTAAAAAAGATACACTGATGGCAAATTAAGCATTTGAACGTAAGTTCCACATCTTCTATCATTTGACAACTGAAAAGTAAAGCATTAAGTTACCACTATGCATCTATTACACTGGCCAAAATCTAAACGAGTGACACCGCCAAATGTAATATGGATGCTGAGCAACAGATACTATCATTCACTGCTTCTGAGAGTGCTAGAACTACTTTGGAAGGCAATTTAACAATTTCTTACAAAACTAAAAATGCTCTTACCATATAATCCAATACTCACACTCCTTGGTATTTATACAAAGTAATTGAAAATTTATGTCTATGGAAAACCCTGTATTTGAGTATTTATAGGAACTTATGCCTAACTGTCAAAACTTGGAAGCAACCAAGATGTGTTTCAGTAGGTGAATGGTTAAATAAGCTGTAATATATCCAGAAAATGGAATATTATTTGTTGCTTAAAAAATGAAATATTGGGATGCCTGGGTGGCTCAGAGGTTGAGTATCTGTCTTGGGCTCAAGGCATTGTCCTGGAGTCCTGGGATCAAGTCCCATATCCGGCTCCCTGCACTGGGTCTGCTTCTCCCTCTGCCTATGTCTCTGCCTCTCTCTGTGTGTCTCTCATGAATAAATAAATAAAATCTTTTAAAAAATGAAATGTTAAGCCAGGAAAAGACATGGAAGACCTTAAAAGTAT